CACACACACACAGCAGAACAGGCAAATATATGGGGTATCTACCCCAGTGCAGCCATTCCCAACCACTAGGCCACCAAGGTGATATGGGTGGATCAGAGGGATGGACACCTGTATGGCCAATTGGTTCCTCCCTGGCCCCCCACCTATGTTCCCAAGGCACCTGGCAGCATCCTGCTGAGATTCTGGGCTTCCACGAGGGCTCTGGGCCCTGAGTGGGGAGCAAGAGAGAGCCATGCTCAGTGTGATGGGTGGGTTCATTAACACTCCTGAGAGGCAGAGTGAGTTCAGGGGTGTGTGCAGCCTGCCTGCCCAGAGGAACATGAGGAAAACAGGCTGTGGGGCTGCAGAGGGGGGAAAAGGGAGGAGTTTGACTACAGGAGCAGAAAGGTTGTGGACTACAGCCCTACAATCTCCCATGCTTCCAGAGAGGTTAGCCTGCATTAAACCATCACTTGCCAAAAGTCTCTCAGAGCTTCAGGCTTGGCCTCTAGCTCCAGTCCCTGTCACCTCCCAGAGCTCAGAGGCAAGGCACCAGAGCCAGAGGTAAGACCTGAATAAAATGGGAGAGGGAAGCTTCCTAGACCCCCACCTCCAATTCTGAGCAGAGATGGAAGGTTGTCCCAACCCGATGGTTGCCTGGGGACCTGCACGAGGTGGGCTGGCATGTCTCCGAGTTATTCCAAGCCCATTCACATTCTCAAAGCCTCCAGCAAAACCCTACACCTACCTGCTGCCAGAGCAGTGAGGCCAAAGGCTGAACCCGTCTTTGTGAGGGTGGCCCTACCTTTTCAGCCTCAGAGCTAGTCCCTAGGAAGCAGACAATTGGAGACTCGGTGGCAGGATGGAGTGGGGATGCTGGTAGGGCTGGAGCCCATCCGTGCCCAGCACCTATTCACATCTCCAAGGATGTGCAGCTGCACAAAGTAACCCCCATTTGCAACCAGTCTCTGCCTCAGTACTGCCCCAGCCCCCATCTCTAGTATAAACACCTCCCCCTCTCTGCTGCTCTGAAGTCAGTGTAGTTGAGAGCTGGGAGGGTTAAAGCCAGAAGGGAAGACAACACCCATCCTCTTCTGACAGGGCACCCTTACCTCTGCCCGGTACGGAAGGAAGAGGGCACTAGCCAGGTTGCCTGTGATACCACTGAGGATGAAAATGATGGAGATCCTGTGCCAGCCCGCCAGCTTCTCCAGGTCCCTGAGTACAGTCATCTGGAAAATCACCGACACCAGGCAGTGGACAATCCTAGGGAAAGGCACACACCATATTCAGATGATCAGCCCTGGGCTCCTGTTTGCTTTTGCCTTCTCCATCAGCCAAGCCCAGCAGGACAAGTTCTGCTCAGGCCTCATTCAGTCAAAACCAGAGGTCTCTTACAGAGATTCCTCTGCAGAAAGAGTCAGACTCAGTCTCCGCTGGCAGCAGGCAGAAACCCTGCAGGTGACCATTTGGGGCAGAGGTACAGAGACTACCTCCCAGTTGCAGGCAGGGCATTGCCACACAGTGGCAGGAGTCAGGGTGTACAGAGACAACGGATGGATCAGTGTGCCAGGTGTTGCCTGTCCTCCCATGACCTGGCTGGGCAAGGCTGCCAGCTGATGCTCCTAGACAAAGACGGTCCACCTTGCTTCCCCCACAGCCCCTCCATCAGTCAGGTCTGTGCCCCCTGCCTTACCCTGCATGCAGGAACAGGGACAGCCAGAGTCTGTAGAACTGGTCAGGGATTTCTGGGTTCAAGAAGGGCAGAAGGCCACACACCTTATCCAGACAGTGGACCTGCAATGAAAGAGGAATGTTACAGCATGGGACAAAACCCCTGCCTTGATCAGAGAGATCTTTGGGAGAAAAGAGCCTGGAGAGCAAAGCCCAGGCACGACCCACTGCACAGATGGGAAGGCACAGCCCGTGTTAATGGCAATGGATCTGGTCCAACCCAAGCAACCCAGACATGCCTACAGTGCAGTCATTCCAATGAGTTGCCTTCCCAAGGGGACTGGCTCCGGTCAGAGCAAACCCAAGAGATTGAGAAAGGACAGAACACAAAAGTGGCGTTGATGTCCGGCAAGACATTTTCATTTCCCAAACTACCAGTGCCAGTGCGTTCCCTTGCTAGCTGCTCTGATGCTACCGCAGGCCACTCCAAGACAGCAGGCCAACACTCCTTGGTCCCCAAACTGCATCCTCCCATCTCTCTGCCTGGGACCAGCTAAATCAAGCCCTGTTTTTTATTCCCAACAATCCCCATGGATTTGAGGAGCAACATCATGAAGGACGGCTGACAGAGAGCTCCAGTGTCATTTCACAGGGGTCAGGGTCTTTGCCAACAGGAAAAGCTTTAGTCACAGGGTAACCATTTGGGTTGAAGGAGTTCTGGGAAAACCCAAGGCCAGGGGTGGTGCTCACCTGTGAGCAAAGAGTTGCCTCTTCGTGGAAGTAGCCGTGCATGAACTCGCAGTATTCCCGTGTTGTGATCTCGCAGCTGGTGGAAAGGACGACAAAGGTGTCACTACACAGAAACTCTGTCCCGGCACACTTATAAACTCCTCACCTCACTCACCTGTGTGCCCCTGACCAGATGGAGAGGGTCTGTCTCGTCACAGGCCCTCTCTCCACCCTGACCCATCTACCGCTGTGCTGCATTTACCAGGCCTGGGGAAAGCGCTCAGCGCCCCGATTATAGATGCACAGGGGCACTTTCCACCTTTCACATGAAGGGGATGCTCTCTCCACATCAGAACAGACTTACAGGAACCTGGAGTCTCCCAGCCCAGGAGAAGGCCTCCTTCAGGTTTTTTCTGGATGAGGAGCTAACAGGAGGAGGAAACTCCACCTGTGACCCAAGGCCAAAGTGGGGCAACAGCCTACGTAACAGGCCACCCAATGGGTACAATGGGACATGACCATGCCAGCCTCTCCAGGATGCACCCAGAGCCAGGTGGATCCCTGAGGAGCTGCCAGTCAGAAGCTGCCCTGGGTCAGTCCTCTACAGCACCTCTTCCTTATACTGCTTGGGATTGACACTATGCCTTCCAATGGGCATCTGCAGAGAATGGGGTCCCACCTGGCCCGGTCCAGTGCTTTTTGGCTGCCTGAGAAGAAAAGCCTAGGCACAACTTACCTGCCTTTGGTGCCAATGCAGCAGGGCCTGCCTTTGATTTCACAGTCCATGTGCAGAAAGCCAGTATAGTTGGTTTTGATCTGATAGGTACAAATCTAAAAGGAAGAGCAGGGTGAGAACTGCGGCCTGGCAGCCTCCTAGTACGTGACAATGCACGTATCAAGACGAACGGAGGGGGCCAGGTGAGGGAGTAAAGTGACATGCCCCAGAGAGCTGGGGCCATTTAGGCCCCAGTAGGGTATGTGACATCCACGGCTTTTCCTTTTGCCCCATGCTAGCTCCAGTGCAGCCAATCTGGCAGCCACCACACATGGTCAAAGGAGCCCCCACGTTTGGCACAGGAAGGAAGATGCCAGGAGTCCATGCATTATAATGCTTTAACTTTCACAGGCAGGAAGCCCCTCCTCTGAACGCCATGGACACCTCTGACCACAAAAGAAAAAGCAATGCCCAGGAACCAGGCTCCACAAAGCGCATACAACCGCTTACCCCATCCTCTCCTAGTCACTAGCCCCAAGACTTGCCTCTTCAGGACAAGGCTGTGCACCACATACAGGGCCCAGGAAAGGTAAGAGGAGGAGAATGGATTCCCAGCAGCTGGCAGCAACCTTACCGGCCACTTGGTAATGTCGTCCGGCCAGATGTGAGGGGGGTTGGATGCTGGCTCCTCACATGTCCTGTGGGGGAAGGAGCCACCAGTGAGGATGGTTCTCACTACACTGCCTATGTTTGGAGTCCTCCCCTCACAGCTGGGGAGGGGAGACCCTTTAGCCAGTGGACCTTGTTGGACTGTCCTCAGGCCTAGGCAGTTCCTTTCCTACAACAGCGTGGGGTCCCCAGGGCCTAGAATTCGTTCTCTTTGGTCTACAGAGGTTGGTTGGGGAGAGCAAGGAACCAAGTGCGATGACTGCTGTGGGCAATTGAAGGTGTAGCTGGCTATCACCTCTCACATGCCCAGATGCCTGGCAATGGGCATACAATACAGGCATTACACAGGCAAACTCTTCTCTCCCCTTCCTCATCCCCTATGTGAAAGCAAAATGATAGACATCCTGGATAAGGCACAAGACAGAACCAGGACACCTGGGGCATCTATACACGTGCAGTGGGGCTGCTCCAGTGTGCTATAATTACAGCATACTGAAGCAAACTCAATGAATTGAGTCTGCTGGAGCATAACTACCACGCTCCAGCATCAGGTGTATCAGCATCCCTGTGCTGAAAAAGGGAGGCAGGGGCACTTTAACTGAAACTTGCCGAATTCGCTTTAGTTAAAGCGCCCCCGCTGCCATTTTTTCAGTGTGAGAACACGGATACATGTGATGCTCCAGGTGCTTTAATTAGAGCAGCTCTTGGAACCGCTCCAATATTAAAGGGTCCCCCGCTCCCGGAGTGCATCTAGATATGCTCCTGGTTTGATTTTCAGCTCTCCCACACCTCCATCTTACTGTGTGAGCTCTGGCAAGGGCATGTCTTCATTCACCCTTTTCCAACCCTCTTTACCCCTAAAATGGATCAGATGTGTTTAGATGCAGAGCACCATGGGTATCAATATTCCCCTCAGCACCACCTTGCTGTGCTTCTTATAGAAGAGACAGAAGTCCCAAAGACAAGGCACTGATATAGACCCTTAGCAGACACCTGCCAATTCAACATCATGATGCCCAGCTCCCCACTCCTTCCCCAGGAGAGGTGCTTGTACCTGGGGTCCTGATGGCACACAGCCCCCGATGTTCGCTTCTGGCTGGAGTTGCTGGTAATGGCTGGAGGGTTGGCATCTGGCCACTTTATGAAAGTCGCCAGTGTCTCCTGAAAGAGGAATTTCGAGAGTGGATTTTCACTGCCATGAATGGAGGGGCTTGAGGCATTCAAATAGGCACCTTCTAAAGTGGCTCTGCCCAGTTGCATGCTGCCATATCACTCTTTGGGCTACTGAACATCAACCTGGCCTGGGCAGCAGGTCAAGCAAGATGCCTCATTTCTTCTGTATGATGCTCTTTTACCCCACCTCCCCCCACCCCACCCATCATGACTCCTCCACTCTATTCACTTAGGCTCCTCTCCTTGTCCTACCACCCTCTTGGTGATTCACTCATTCCCTTCCCAGAGCCAAATCAGACAGGAGCAGGTGCATCCCATTATGACAATCAAAGCCTTGCTGCCTGGTCTGTTTTGCAGCTGTGCAGGGATCCCTTGGTACTCACTGAGCAATCCTCCCGCAGGGTCTGGATGCAGCCCGAGTTGTCATTTTGGATGCAGCAGCCTGAGTTGTGCTCGCGGTCCCTCTCACGCTGAACAAGCTTCTCCACCTGGTGGTCCTTCCGGATACATGGGGAGAACTTGGCTCCCAGGTGAATCAGGTCAATCTGAAAGGCAACGCCATTCCAAAAGCGGGGTTGGCTCCAGGTAAAAGACAATCTCTACATCAGTTCCTTCGCCTAGCTCAATTCCTCTCCCAATCAGCTGCTAGACGTTCCCAAATATGTCACCACACAAGGCCAGGCCACGTCAACACTAGGAAAGGTGAGCCTGATGTCAATAGCATGCACAAGTTGCATGCATTTTATGCCTAATAAAACCTCCCTTCTTTCATGATAGGAGCTGCCTCTACCAGATCAAAGGTATGGTACCATAACCAGAATATTAGGATGCTTGCTGTATACATAGGTGGTGTTAATTCAGTGGCAGGAAATGCACCGAAGGGGTTTGGGGAACGGTTCTTCACTGCCGCTCCCCCCCACACCCCCAAGAGCTCTTGCAGATCTGCATCACAAAACACAAGTAGCAATGGAGATGGAGAGAAAGCAAGTCCAGCGCTGTACATGGCACTGCAAGACATCAGGCCAGATGTGCTGGGAAAAGCTTTGCATCTGGCCAAAGTCTGCCCGACTCTTGAGTCATTCTCCCCATATTTCATTGTACTGGCAGCTTAATTCCTCTTGGCCTTCTGGGAAGCT